TATTATTTTCCTCTTTTTTCCTAGCTGTTTCATGGTCAATTCATGTTCTTTAGTTGCTCTGTCTTTGAAGCTCAAGTGTTTAAAATTCCATCTTTCAATGTGTTTTTCTCTGCTCTTCTCTGTTATCCTTTCCCATTATTCTCTGGTTTGCTTCTTCTTCAATTTCAAGATTTTAATTTATCTTTTTCCCTTTAAGTCAAGTTCTTTTAAAAATTTCTAATTATATCTTAGCTATTTCTAGCTGTGATATCCTAATTTCAGGCTTCCCATATTCCAATTGCAAATGCTGCATAGTCACTTCAAGCATCTCATCTTTACAAGATTCTTTACTTCCACCTTCAAGTTATCTGTTAAATCGCTCAGTTTAGCCTTAGTCAAAGGTTTTAAATAATTCACTGTTGTATTTTCCACTTCCAGAAAAAGCTAGCTTCAAATTCTGTATGATAAACTTTACTTTTCTTCAGATCCCTCTAAAATCCTGGAGGAGCTACCAATTTTATGATCTCAGCTGATATCATTACGAGACAAGTTAGATCGCAGAATGAGACATGGTTTGGCAATCGTATTTTGTTTTGGTATTAAGAATGTGGTCTTTCACTGAAACATTGAAACACAATGTTGCAGATTTTGTTTAAATAATAAAACAGAAGTTTATTAACAAAAGTAATGAAAACAAAATACAGTATAACAAACTATCTACTATACAAAATCCCATTAATCCCCAAACACTTATATTTATAAACTGAAAAGAAACACATTGTTTTTGTATCGTACCCAAAACACATCCTGTTACAACAGTCAAAAACACACCTAGTACAGTATCAAAAAACACCACTCATACAGTACTCACCCCAGAGTCGCTGTCTCTAACACATCAATAGGTTTATGTCATTTGTGCTTTTGGTTATAGACTGGAACTGCAGATAGTTTCTTCATGGGGCTATTCATGCACCTGAGCTTAAACATACTCTGGCTCAAGTAAGCTCTTCACAATTTTAGCCCAACACTTCTAATCTGATAAAAACACTGACTCTTACTGTAAAGCAATCTTGTTTCACTATGCCTTCCCTTCTCAGGAGCTGTGGTACATACAAGCATCTTCACAGAAGAACTTCATAGGATTGTTTAAAGCCACAGTAAGGCTGAAAAAACTATGTATCTAAGCTGCCCCCACCCCCAGCCTGGAGCAAAAAATAAGTTTCAGAAATCTCCAATAAAACTTGAGACCTCATTATTAATGTTGCTGGGTTGCGAACAAGTAAATAAAAATCCGTCATTGGTGCCCAAATACCTCCCACACATTATAACAGAAATAACCATGGCTACAGAAATATTTACAATTATTAAATTCAGACACACAAAAAAACCATGTATCTCACTAGCCCAGAATCTCTCACAGTTTACATCACAGGAGGAAATGTGTTTCTACCTCTAACTTCAACCAGGAACTCTGTAAACTGAGAACAAAAGCTTTCCAAGCTGTGTATTTTTCCCTTAAGCAAAAAAAAACCTTGATTCTTCTAATTGAAAGCAAGCTAATCTGTTCAATGTTTACTCCGTATGCTCATAAAATTCTCTAAATGAAATAAAGTCACATTATGACACCAGGAACACTCTCTCATAACGATTTTAAAAATACATGGCTCCAGAGTACTGACCAGTTGATCATTAAAACCCTTCATATACACAGGCCAAAACTGAATACCACTAATTGAAAATCCAAACTCCAGAATAAATGACATTTAAAATGTCCAAATTATACATTTTATGTCACAATGCATGCACTCAGAGGCCAAGATACAAGTTTTATCGTTGATGCATTAACGGAGGAATATGAAAAGTTTACCTTAGGCTAAACATTTGGAAGATAAAGGTCCTCTACTACCTCTCTACTACTGCACAACATTGTCTGACTATCACAATCCAAAGTGAGCCATGGATAAGGTGAATCCAATTCCCTTATCTCGGGGGCCTCCTTTCAGTGAGGACTGACATGAACAGTGAAATTCAATGTCATCTCCAGTATGCCAGTACAGACTTTGGCAGGAACAAAGTGACTGAACCATGACCTCAAGCCTGACAACAATGATGAACATCTACAGGGCAGCAGTATTACAAGCACTCCTTTTTGCACTATGAAGGCATAAACAACGTATAGGTGACACACAATCTCTTGAAAAATATCATCAGAGATATTTCTACAAAATCCTACAAATCCTTCAGATTTGATGCTCCAATGCCAATGTCCTCACTCAGGCCAATACTCACTGTATCGAGGCACTGACCATAAGACGTAGTGGCAGAAGTACGTGCTGGCTACATTCAGTCAGCTGCGTTGGGTGTGCCACATTATCTTCATCAAAACCAGAAATTGCTGGCAAAATTTGCAGGAATTGCTTGTGCTTAGGCTTGCTGGAACACTGCAGCAGACCTGCAACAGAAATGTTGTATGGGAACATGGTGTGGTGAAGTAGCAGGCGACTGGAAGCTCAGTGTCATTTTTACCAACAGAATGCAGGGGTTCTGCAAAGCGGTCACACAGTCTATGTTGCTTCTCCCTGCTATAGACGAGACCATACTGTGAACAGTGAATATAGTAGACTGGTTTGAATGAACTGCAGGTAAATCGCTGCTTCACCTGGAAGGTATATCTGGGGACTTGGATGGTGAGGAGGGAGAAGGTAGAGGAGGGAGGTTTTGCTCCTTCTACTGTCGCTGTATTGGTGTGGGGAGGTGTTGGAATGAAAAAGGAGTAGACTAAGGTGACATTAAGGGAGTGGTCCAACATATTGGTGACAAAGGAGGGGAGGGAAAGATGTGTCTGGTTGTGGCATCCTGTTAGAGCTGATGGAAATGGTGGCTTACAATCCTTTGGATGCAGAGGCTGGTGGGGTGAAAGTGAGGACCGAGGACCCCTGCTGTGGGATGGAAGAGAATGGGTGAGCCTCAGCACAAGCTCAAAGAACAGCATCTCATTTCCTTCATGGGGACCCTACAGCCTCTGGCACACAACGTTCAAGTTCAATAACTTTAGAGCTTGATTCCATCCATCTACGTTGTTTACACACTCCCACACCCAGTCCTATTACGACATTGGTTGCTTTTAGCACAGCCAACCTATTTTCACCCTCTCTCAGGCCTCTTACCACACTACATGATTTGCTTTCAGCACAGACTTCCCATTTTCCGCCACCCGCAGCTCACATTATCATTCATTTAGCTTTTCTTCTGTCCTGGCCTGCATCCATAATACCAGCCTTTTCATATTTCTCCCTCTTTCACTGGTCTCCATCTCGACCTAACCACTCATGTCTCCCTTTATCTCCATCTTAAACATGGATACCAGTTTTTCTTAGCTGCTATAGTTCTGATGAAGAGTTACCAGACTTGGATCATAGAATCCCTACAGTGTGAAAGCAGGCCATTTGGCACATCGAGTCCACACTGATTCTGCAAAGAGCATCCCATCTTCCTATCGTATAACCTTGCATTTCCCATGGCTAACCCACCTAGCTTACACATCCCTGGACACTCTGGGCAATTTTAGCATGGCAATCCACCGAACATGCACAACTTTGGACAGTGGGTGGAAACCACAGCACACCCACACAGACATGGGAAGAATGTGCAAACCCACACTGGCAGTCACCCGAGGACAGAATTCAACTCGGGTCCCTGGTGCTGTGAAGCAGCAGTGCTAACCATGGAGCAACTATGCTGGATCTTTTTTTTCTTTATTCATTAATGAGATGAGGGCGTCGCAGGCTAGGCAGCATTTACTGCCCATCCCTGATTGCCAAGAGGGCAGTTCAGAGTCAACCACATTGCTGTGGGTATGGAGTCATATGTAAGTCAGACCAGGTAAATTTCCTTCCCTAAAAGACATTAGTGAACCAGACAGGCTTTTCCGACAATCGACATCAGATTTATGGTCACCATTAGATTCTTAATTCCAGATTTTTTTTGAATTCAAATTCCTCCATCTGCCGCAGCAAGCATTCAATCCCAGGTGCCCAGAACATTATCTGAATCTCTGGATTAACAGTCCAGTGATAATGCCACTAGGCCATTGCATCCCCCTGAGATTTGCCAGCAGTTTCTGATTTTGTTTCAGATCTCCCGCATCAACAGGTTTGTTTTATCACATTATCTGTGCACTTGTTCCAAAACAAGCTCTTTACTGCAAGCATCATTATGAAAAGGATACCAGGAGTAAACACTTTACAGATGACTGTAAACCTCCTTGAAGAAAAACAATATGCTCACCAACCGGCAGGAATTCCAAGGCTAAGACCACCCAAACTGGAGAAGCAGCATTTTCGAGGGGCCCAAACTTTTCAAGTGTTGCTGTGGATTGTTAGAGTCAGTAAGGGCAATATTGTGCATTGGGAGCAAGTTGATAGAAAATCTTTTTCCTTCCAAATAAGGTCCATTTGTCATATGCCTCCATTAATGTATCAATGCTAGTTTTAAGCTTGGCCTCTGAGTGCACACGTTGTGATGTAAGATGAATAATTTATAGATATTTTAATGTCATTTATTTTATAGTTTGGAATTTCAACTAGTGAAACTTGATTTTGGTTTGTGTATATGAAAAGTTTTAATGATTACTTTGTCAGCACTCTGACAGACCCAGATGTAGCGTTGGAAGGAGAATGCAAAATCCTTATCATCCCAAATCTTCAAACACCACCGACCTCCCATGTGGTAGAGCGTGCGAATGAAACATTGGACTGCTTAGTCATTTCGAGACCCAGGACTTTGGAGTGGAAGAAAATCACTGTTGATGCCGAAGGACTGCCCAAGAAAAAGAAGCTGTGATTATGTGTCATGAAGTATGAACTTACAGTCTTGACAACACTCATGGAAAAGAAGTAGAAACTGAAACAGACCTCTGACAGTAATAAAAATTGCAGCGGCCAACAGTGCTTCACTATTGTAAACCAATTACAGGCCGGGGAAGAAGGGGGCGGGAACATTCTAGCACACCACCCGGAATCCCTGGCAACGGTTGGGCGAGGGATTTGAGTATCGAGGCCTGTGAATGGTAGACTGCTGCACGCGACCTGCTTGGCGCGCTTTGTCCTGTCTGAGTGGATTTTCGTCCGTTAAACGGTCGCAAAAGGGGAATGATGTGGAACAATCCGGGTGAGGGGGGGTTGCTGAGGGTTTGTCCGTTTGCGTCTCCCACTTTTCTGGGCAGATGGCGGTCGGGTTGGGAGGCGGGGGCAGGTCGCGGGTTGCATGATGCAAGAACGGTTCAGCCGATCTACAGGCCCGGACGGACGCCTGGCAGCTGTTGCCTCTCCTGTTCTCTTGCGTTTCAATCCCCACTCCATCCGGTGGCTTTAACGGAGTGAAACAAACCGAAAGTGCATTTTAGGGAGGGGAGAAAACGAGTTTACGAAGCAGGAGGTGACAAGAAGGGAGTGGGGATGTGAGTTGGGCTATGCGGATGGAAAGGGCGAGTAGAATAGGGTATTGAGGCTTAGATATGTTTGTAAACACTCTGGTTGTGATATTTGTTCCTTAAATGAGGTGTGCTTTTGTTAGGAAAAATAAAATCGTACAGTTTTAAAAGTCATACGTTGTAAAAAAAACCTATGTACTTTTATATAAACTGAATTTGTGATCTGAATTCTTTTTACTTGTGGTATTTCCTGTCACATTTCAGTGCTAAAGCCACACAATTGTCAGAGTGGGTGGCACTTTAGGGAATGGACTTCTCATCAATGGGCAAGGTACTGAAATGTTAATTTTTCTCGCTCCACAAGTGCTTCCAGATTGGCATTGTCTTTAAGGTAGGAGGAGGAGGTGAACAGTTTAAGGGAGGGAATCTCAATCAGGAATATTTAAGAGGCCTGAATTAGGTGAGTTCAGATGTCTGTGGATGTCAGGGCTGGGAGGGATTATAGTGATGGAGTTAGGAGGCTAGGGAGTGTTTGTATTTGGGCCATCTGTGCAGGATGGAAAATACTCATTAGAAATAAATGAAAACTGTAGTTATAAAATGCAAGTTGTAAATGTAGCTTTGTTTTGATACTGTAACTGACCTCCAACACTATTTTCTAGGTTCTTTTGGTGGAGGCTATGGAGGTTTTGGAGATACTGGTGCAGGAGGTGGGGGCTACTTGCAATCACCTGGAGGGTTTGGCTCACCAGTTGGAGGCAGCCAAAGCGACAGAAAAACTGTAAGCACAGACACTTATAAGAAAGAATGAGACCAGGAGTAGGCCATTTGGCCTATTGAGCCCTCCCTATCATTCAACATGATCATAGCTAAACCCCTCTCCCAATACTCTTACTTTCTTCCTATCTCTCTTGAAACCTTTAACCTCTAGAAATCTGTTTCTTTCTTAAACACGTCCAGTGACTTGACCTCCACAGCCTTTTCTGAGAGAATTCTGCAGGACACTACCAATTAGGTGGAGAAATGTGTCCTCATCAGTCAGAAATGGCCATCCTCTATCCTGAGACTGTCATATCCTGTTCTGGAGCCCCAGCTAGGGAAACAACATCACTGCATTCGGTCTGTCTAGACCAATAAGAAGTTTGCTCCAGTAGCTTCTCCTGTTGCTTTCCCTGCCTCATTATTTCAAAACTCCATTGAATACAGGATCAGTTGACTGATGATCTCTCATGACATTCTCAAAAGTCATCTGAAAATCAAATCCACCACCTCCTATTCTAATAGTTAAATCTTTAAGAAGGTCTCTTTTTGTCAAACTTTATTTAGTTTTCATAAACCTGTGTTGACTTTGTGTAATTCTGTTGGTATTTTCCATTATTCATCCTTTATAATGGATGCCAACATTTTCCCTACCACTGATGTTAGGCTAACCTGTCTGTAATTCTTGGTTTGCCCCCTGCCTCCTTTTTAAAATAATGGGTCTATGTCTGCCACTCTTCAGTCTGTTGGAAATGTTCCAGAATCTACTGAATTTTGGAAGATGACAACCAAAACATCCACTGTTTCCACAACCACCTTATTTAGTACCCTGGGAAGTAGATTATCAGGCCCTCAGAGTTATCAACTTTTAATTCTATTAATTTCCAGCACACTTTTTAAAGCCAGAAGTAATTTCCTTTGATTCTTCCTCCCCAATAGACCCAAACATCTCGGGAAAGTTATTTTAATACCTTCTGTGAAGATCTAACTAAAATAGTTCTGTTATTGCTCTGCCATTTTCTTTTTTAACGATTGATTCTGTCAGTATGGGGCCTATGTATTTTTTTTTAAAAAACCTACTTATAGAGGCATAGTCTGTTTTTGTTGAAAGTTTACTTTCGTTCTCTATTTGTCTTCACTTAGTTACCCTCTTGATTCTCCTTTGCTGAATTCAAACCTGCTGCCAGTCCTTGCTACGTTTGCTAGCAACTTTTTATGACTCCTCTGTGGATCTAATGCTACCTTTAGTTTAATTTGTTAGCCATGGTTGGTGTGCTTTTCCTATTATGTACTCTCACCCAAAAAGAATGTTGTAATTCATGCATTTGTTCCTTACATGTTAGCCATTGCTTATTATTGTCATGCCTTTTTATTGAAGTTGCCAAATCTCTTTCAGCCAACTCATCCCTCATACCTTTGTAGTTTCCCTTGTTTCCATTTAGGATCTGAGTTTCAGATTGGACTACTTTATTTTCTATGCCACTTATCGCTGCAGTTCTGCTTGTGGAATGTAATTATAAAATTGGGTGTCAAAATACATATCTTTTTATCGAGAATGTAGAAATTGGTATTGGTCTTGTTTAAACTACTAATGATAAATTTGTAAAAACCGAAAGAACTGCGGATGCTGTAAATCAGGAACAAAAACAAAGTTGCTGGAAAAGCTCAGCAGGTCTGGCAGCATCTGTGAAGGAGAAAACAAAGTAACCTTTCAGGTCCTAGGAAGGGTCCCCAGACCCGAAATGTTAACTCTGTTTTCTCCTTCACAGATGCTGCCAGACCTGCTAATGATAAATTTGTGATGTGCTATGTTTTTGTATCTATTTTTGCAATCTGTTTTGAGAGTTATTTCACCTGATCAAAAAATGCTAGGAATTTATAAAGTCTCTACCAGTTTGTAAAAACTTTCTTGATTATGTTGAAGAACAGCAACAGCTGTGGCCAGAAACTGTAGCAGGTTTTGTGAAAGTGATAGGTGCAGTGTACTTTTACGTTATGAAATTTAAAACTTTGTTTCAAATTATTTAAATGGAAACAAAATCTGCAAACTAAACAAGGTGACACCAGCTTTACTATCACAGTTTTGTTTTAAGTTGCTTTTATTGGGTTTGCATAAGCCAATCAGTAAAAATGTTGTTATTCATTTTATTTTGCACCATTTGGCTACTCTGACCTGTTGCAATATCAGAGTTATGATGCCCTCAAAATATATATAATTCTGTAATACAACCCTGCAATCAAAATACTGACTAATCGTGATTAAGTAGCAAATAAATGCAATTTAGACAGGATATGGCCTTGTACCTGTTGTTTCCATTTTGCATTGCCATTTATTGCAAAGTCCTGTAATATCGTTATTAAAAGCTTAGAACAGTGTTCTGATTAATCCATCGTTGTAACAAGATGAAACAAAGTAATTACTTAAAGTGCAGTTTATAATATCTAAAATGTATTAGGGTAATTACTTTGTGTGTGGGGGCATAGTCTATAAATTTTCTTATACTTTTGTCATTCCCTGTTTCTGTAAACAAACATATTTGAGATCTGCTGAACTAACCTTTATTATTAATTCTTCTATCAGAGGTCACGGGCCCAGCAAATAGTTCCTTGTACAGTGTCACAGCTACTGGCCGCTATTCAAACAGAAGAAATTTTCAGGATTGGAGAGGTGGAATTATCTCAGGTGAGTGAAAAGCTTCTAACTATTGAACATTCCAAATTCATCAATATGATTTTGAAATGATTTCTGGTATATCAGTCAACACCATCTTATTTTTGTGACTTATTTTAAGGTATATAAGACTAAATATCTATTTTAGATGTAACATTAAGGGTATAAAGACTTTTTGACCCTGAAACAGTCTCACTTTCCTGATTCCCTTAGGGTGATGGGGAGATATTCAGTCATTAGCTGAATGTGAAACAGTTTTATTTTTACTTCAATAAGGGTATAAAAATTATAATGTGCAATCACCAAATTTGATTTGACCTTTGCTTGCTAATCCATTTTAAAAGACTGTGTATATTCATGATCCTTTTTTCTTTTGAGGCTTAATCTGATAAATATTTCTAGTATAGAACTTTGAGTGTTGCTGAAAGATGACACTTGGTTGAAACTTTTCATCTTGCAAGTTGTCCTGAAGTGTGCAAGAGAAAGCAATGTATAGGAATAACAACAATTATGCTATATTGAGAACAGGGTCTTTTTTATTCACTTGTGGGATGTGGGTGCCACTGGCTGGCTAGATTTATTGCCCATCTGAAGTTGCCCTTGAGAATGTGATAGTGAGCTGCCTTTTTGAATTGTTGCTGTCTGTATGCTGAAGGTAGACACAATGCCATTAGGGAGAGAATTCCATGATCTTGACTCAGCAATAGTGAAGGAATGGTGATATATTTCCAAGTCAGGATAGTGAGTATCTTGGAGAGGAACTTGCAGGTAATGGTGTTCCCAAGTATCTGCTGCTTTTGTTGTTTTAGATGGAAGTGGTCATGGGTTTGGAAGCTGTTGTCTAAGAATCTTGTGCAAAATTCTGCAGTGCATCTTATAGATTGTAGCAGCAGTGTGTACTGAGCATCGGTGGTGGAGGAAGTGGATGTTTCGCTAATCAAGTGGGCTGGTTTGTCCTGGATGGTGGTGTTGGAGCTGCATCCATTCAGACAAGTGGGAAGTATTTCATCACACTCCTGACTTGGGCCATTATAGTTAATGGACAGGCTTTGAGGAGTAAGGGATTGAGTTAATTGCAGCAGTATTCCGAGCCTCTAGCCACTGTTAATGTGATGAGTGACCAGAACTCCACTACAACGATAACCCCTCGGCTGCTGCTAGCGGGGGGTGAATCAATGATGGTAATCCCATTGAATGTCTCTTGTTGGAGATGGTCATTGCCTGGCATTTGTGTGCCATGAATGTTACTTATCACTTGTCAGCCTAAGCTTGGATATTGTCCAGATCTTGTTGCATTTGAACATGGACTGCTTTGGTACCTGAGGAGTTGCAAATGGTGCTGAACATTGTGCAATCATTGGTGAATGTCCCCACTTCTGACCATATGATGGAGTGGAGGTCCTTGAAGGTGGTTGGGCCTACCCTGAGGAACTCCTACAGAGATGTTCTGAAGCTGACATAACTGACCTCCAACAACCACAATCATCATTGATCACTTGGCAAATAGATTGTGTTTGGAAGAGGTATTACTGTGAAGAATGCACCAGTTAGATAATGACTAGCACTTAACTGCCAAGTTATGTACAAATTAATCCAGGCATGTTGATTCTGGCCAAGGGATTGCCCTGAGAAATGAATCTGAGAATGACTATCAGTCTTTATTTTTTTAAAAACTAAAGCAAGTGCAGTGAGAATAGGATCAGACCCTTGAAGTATTATGGACATATTTCTAACTCTATTCCAAATTGTCATTTTGTTAAAAACTACTGTGAAGATAAATTAGGTGTTGTTTGTCAAATTTTTGTGGAATCCATGGAATGTCACATCTGTAGAGTATCATGGACACTTCAAATAGAGACACCTAACAGGAAGAGATAGAAGGGTTGACTATATCCCCCCTTTATCAGCAGAGAGCTACCACTTGCAGGCATTTTTTATGTCCTTCCAGCAATGTACAAAAAAAAAATTATAAACTAGTTGCAACCTTGGTCTGGTTGTAGTAATGAAGAAGGTGTGCTTGTGAGCAGAGGTGATCATGGATACCAGCCTGGCTTGAGATGCTGGTCAATAAATCACAATAAGTCACCGCTGCATTGCTGGTAAAATGAATAGAAGATTGCTGGAAGTAAAATAGCTCGCAAGCCAGTCAGAAGGAAACCGAATAGGAAAGGCATTCTTGCTTTGAATGCTGCCAATCAACTACCATTGAAAGGATTTCTACTAACTGGCAAAAGCCAAGAATCCTGAAATTGACTGTTCAACTTATAGATAACAAGGTGTAGAGCTGGATGAACACGGTCTAGACCCGAAACGTCAGCTTTCCTGCTCCTCTGATGCTGCTTGGCCTGCTGTGTTCGTCCAGCTCTACACCTTGTTATCTCAGATTCTCCAGCATCGGCAGTTCCTACTATCTCTGTTCAACTTGTTATGCCTGTTCTTTTCTGTTGTTTTGATTTGTGGACTGAAATGGGAAAAGAACTGTTTTATAAACATTGTTGAGGGATTGCTGTATGTTTTGGAAAGCAAGTAACTTGACGTTCATTGTAAGTGCTGTTTATACAAATGGAGATTACCTGGCATGGACTAGTGACCAATTACCAACAAAGACCTTCTACCTGCCAGCAATTGTGATTGGTTCCCAGGTAGCTGAATAGCTTGGGACCTGTAAGCAAGCTAGTCCGAAGCAACAGATCTCCAAGTTCAGGGACAACGTTCTGTACAGACAACAAAACACTTTTTTTAAGCCTGAATAAAACCAGTTTATTTTTCCTTCACTTGCTATAAACTGTGACTTTTGAACCTCAGAAAATGACCCATATACTTTTAAGTCTTATATTTTTCATGCGCACTTATATTTCATTCAGTAAGTAATAAACTCATACTTTTGTTAGCTTGGCTAAATTGGACCATTTTTGAAACTTGAATCCATTTAGTCTGGGAAGAAGGGCTGCTTTAGTGGATGCTTTTCTAAATTAACCTTCTTGCAACTAAACAAGGGGGCAGGTGAATAAAGTAGGGAAGTGAGTTCATCTCTGTTCACCTGGGAGCTTAATAATTTGGATATCTGTTTGGAACTGTAGAAACTTGGCAACCATCATCTGGGGCTTGGTTGTAACAATAGATGTTTGCTTTGTTCTTGAATCCGACAGTGGCACGTAAGATTTCCTTGTATATGTTAATTTTTATTTTTCTTCATTAGTAGGATGTGGGCATCGCTGGTGAGCTGCAGTCTTAAACCACTTCAGTTCGAGCGCTGTAGGTTAACCCACGTTAGGGAAGGAATTCCCTCCGTCCAGCTGAAATTCCAGTTCTGAAGAGGAGGAGTCTATTGAGTTCCCTTTTCTTGGTGCCCTAGTTGAGAAATCGGCTCAAGGATTCAACTACCACTTCTACTGCAAGTCTGCCTTCAATTGGCCAATATAAACATTGGGTTTCTTCGGTTTCAAACACTATAAGATAAACATTGACTACTTCATACATCGGGCCTGTGCCATTTGTTCGTCATCCATGGAAGCTTGATGTTGAAAAAGGGCACATCAGAGCCATTGCAAGATAATGGCTGCTCTGATCAGATCATTTCTCGCTGTATATTGCACAAAATCACGAAGGGGCCTCATGCTATGTTTTGGTCCTTAAAAAGTGCCCAGTCTACACAGTATTTTACACCTGATTATCAGGTGAAGCTATCTATTTCATGCTGCTATTATGCAGTAGTATCGAGCTGTGTTCGCCACTAATAGAATGCTGCTGTCAAGCCAAAAAGATACTCTACCTGTTGCGCAAAATTGGTATGAATTTCATTATTATGACTATAAATAGGAACAGGAGTAGGCCATTTGGCCCCTCGAGTATCTGCTATTCTTTAATTGGGTCATGACTGATCCAAATTTCCTTGTGTCCGCATTACTGCATTTTCCTCAGATTCCTTGATTTCCCTCCTGATCGAGAATCTATTTATCTCAGCCTTAAATTTACACGCGGTCTCTATGGCAAGGAGCTCCAAAGACTCAACCTTGAAGAACTTCCTTCTCACTCAGTCTTAAATTGGGGAACCTTTTATTCTGAGAGTCTATGTCCTCTGGTCCTAGACCCTCCCATGAGTGGAAGTATCCTTTCAGCATTTACCTTATCAAATGCCTAAAGAATCTTATGTTTCAATGAGATCATCTCTCATTTTTCAAAATTTCAATGAGCAGAGTCTCAATCTGTTTAACATTTGCCCATAAGACAATCATTCCGTACCAGGGATTATCCTGGTGAGAAACTTTAACTTCTCCTAAAATAAGGGGACCAGAACTCCTCCTCATACTCCAGATGTGGTCTCACTAGCACCTTTTACACTTGCAGTAACTTTTCCCATCATTGATATTTCAATCCCCTTGAAATAACGGCAAA